AAAGGGGGGGGGGCTGAAGACCAATTACGTACGATGAGCTGGGATTCCCATAGGGCAAGCCTATTTGGAGAACGATGCCCAGGCGAGTTGCCCTGATCAGGAATGCGCAGGAGCAAGCAGTGGAGTAACGGGCTGTGGAAGCCGTCGTACCCCAAGAGGGGAAGGATGGAGCAGGAATCGTCGTCGGCGGCGGCGGCGGAGGAGGGGAAGGGGGAGGGAGAGGGGGAGGGAGAGATGAAAAAGGGAGGAGGGAGAAGGAGGAACAGGCGGGGAGGAGGAGGAGGAGGAGGAGGAGGAGGAGGAGGAGGGCGCGCAGAATGGCCAGAAGCCTACTGGATGCCTCTCGAAGTCGTTTCGGATGTCTCTTGAGAGCGTTTGGGAGTCCTCTTGGGGCGTTTTGGGGGCCTCTTGGCGGTCCCGGGGGAGCCTCTTCGGGCATTTTGGGGGTTTTTTAGAAGCCTCTTGGAGACCTCTTCGGGGCCTCTTGGGGCCTCCTGGGCGCCCCTTGGGGCCCTCTTGGGGCACTCAGGGAGCCTTGGGGGTCAGTTCGGGGCCATCTTGGAGGAGATCATCCTCCTCCTCTTCAGCTCTTTTTTCTTATGACGAAATCTCCCTGTCGCACCCCGAGGCCAGTCGGAAGGGCAGGGCCGGCGCTTCATTCCCTTAAAATTTATGAGCCTCAGCAAAAACCAGTAAAAGTTTTACATGTGGAGGGCATATCGCTTGCACAATGCGGCTCGCGCCTTAGCGCCGCGCACATTCGTTTCCAAAATTTGCGAGAGCTTTACTGATAGAGGGATGTTGCGCTTCAAAATGTGGCTCTCGTTTTAGCGCCACGCACACTCGCATTAGAATATGCAAGAGCTTGTTTCACGGATTGAGGGTGGATCCTTTTTCAAAATGCGGTTCTCGATTTAGCGCCGCGCACATTCGTTTTAAACATGTGTATGAGTTTCATGGATCCCCCTGGCCAGAGTGCCTGAATTTGTGTTTGGGAAGGGTTCAGCATTGTGAGGGCGCAGCAGCTAAAGTCCCAGGAACGGTGTTCTGGCACGATTCCGGATCGTCCACGCGCACGCAACAGTCAGATTGATTCGTGGCGGTGGAATCCCGAGAACGGTGGTTTGGCACGTTTCAGGGTCTTCAAACTGTTTTCTACCAGCGGGGCAGTTCCCTCAGTGGGAATGAACCCTTATGGGGGCCTATGAAGAGGGAGCTTGGTGGGTTTAGCCCAACATCGTTGATGAGTTTTGGGTTACACTGGTCCTCCTCCTCCTCCTCCTCCTCCTCGTTCGCTCGTTCGTTCGTGGTGAGGCAAGAGGGCGATGCCTATACAGATGAGAGCAGAGAGAGGAGCAGGGGGGAGGAGCAAAAGCAGGAGCAGCCATACGTATGGAGAAGTAGGGGCTGCGGCCTGAGCCATGAGAGCTGCCTGGGTTACTACCTCGGGTGCAATTCGAAGAGAACGGGGGTAGTCCTTCACCCAGCTTTCTGGACTACTGCCATAGGCGCAACAAGTGGAAAAGAATAGTCCTTCATCAGGCAACAGCGGTACTGTCAGAGGCGCGCGCAAGTGCACTAGACTTGCGCACCTGTGCGGCACTGTGTTTAAAGTGAACGACACTAGAGACGGCCACATCCGTGTCGACGCCTTCGCGCACAGGCCCTTCCCGCACTCAACTGAGCGGCAGTCCACGTTAAGGGGAAAGGAAGAGGGAACTTGGTGAGTGAGTCGGTCCTGGGTCGTGCAGCACAGTCGTCAGGAGTCGGATGGGCGCCTGCGTGCCAGGAGGGGGAAGACAGAAACCAATTAAGCCTCATTATTGAGAAAGGGCTCCAAAGGTGTGTAGAAATTCCTAGTACCAGGCGGAAGTTCCCACTCGTCGTCAAAAACATCTGAATCAATCGTCTTGCGTAGTTGTCTTTCTTGGCTAAGGGTCCACTCAAGAGGGCGGGGGGTCATGAAAGGAGCCAGGTGGAAGCCCAGTGGGAAATCCACGATCAAGGGGAGAACAAAGTTCGGGAAAACGTGAGCGGAAATGAGAGAGAAACGTGGCAGCAAGCATGCGACACATGTTCGACGGATACGCCTTGGCAGCTGCGGAGCCCCACGAATATGTGAGGGACAAGCCACTAAAAGGAGAATGGGGAGAGGCGTGATTACAAATGGGTCCTACCTCCATCTGGCTAAACCATTGATCCAGGGAAGGAAGATGCACAACAAGCAAAACAGTGGGTTTAACGGGCGCCAAACCTGCACTGGTGAAGGGAGTGAGCAACAGTACCAGGAAGAGAAAGTAACCTCTTAACTTCAGGAAGAAGCCAGATGCTGGGAGCGCCCTCCACGTGTGCCACATGTGCGAGGTGCTCCAGCACCGCGGGTACATGCAAACGCCAGGCCTCATACAAGAAACGAAGGGCCACACCAAGCAACTGGTTGGTTGTCGCAACGTGCACCTGTCCCTGCTTGGATAGGTGTCCGAGTCCCCAGAGCCCCGTA